ATCGAGTGGAACCATATCACAAACATTGCAAAGTGGCAATTTTCCGCTTGGTTTCAATATCCACTCGGATTTTTCTGACGATTTAGAAGGTGTCCTGGAGACCCGTTTTTTTGATCAAAAAAAGGGTTCCCAGGACACCTTTCCAATTGAAGCCAAAGTGGAAAATTACCATTGCAAAGTTTTGTAGTTGCGTGATGGTCGCAAAGAAGTTCATAGAATATTTTATTTATGGGATATAGGCACCTACTGGAAATGAATTTTAACAAATATAAAGTCATGGGGTAGTTTAGCTGCCCATTGGGCCGCCACCCATGTGTAAGTACATGTGCCTCTGTGTAGTTGTGCCTTTGTGTAGCCAGCGCTCTAGAAAAGCAGCTGAATAGAAAACAATCAAGGAAAGCAGCTACATAGAAAAAACAATGAAACTTCAACTCTTAAAACAATATTGAAAAAGTATAGATTCTTTACATCAAAAAAGTTAAGTTTTCTAAGTTGTTCTAAGTTATTTTCAATGTTTTTGCAAGAACAACTTATACTAGATACTAATTTGCCTTAGTTTTGTAAATATACTATAAGTTGCATAAATTGACTTAAAAACTTACAGAACTTGTCTAACTTAAAAGTAGGTTACAAATATGTTACAGATAGGTTATAAGTAATTTATAAGTTCCATAACCAAGAAGGAGCCACCAAGTATAGGGTTCCAAAAGCAACGTTAGACAGACTGGCTGCTGCCGTCCGGGGCCCGTTTGCGCGCAGAATTAGATGTGGGAAGGCTGTGGCGACACCAACCTTTTTGGGCTTTCTACAGGGCGGCTCAAGATCGCCCCAAGACCGCCCACATAGCCCAAAAATGGGTTCGACTGGGCCCCAAGACAACAACCACAACCAGAACCACCGCAACAAGAAGAACCACAACAATAATCCATCCTACACCTGTATGTCTATATGTGTGTGCGTGTGCGTGTGTGTGCGTGTGTGTGTGTGTGTGTGTGTGTCTGAGGTCCGTCCCCCTACTCCCCACGTCCTTCCTCCCTCTCCCGTGTTGGCCGGCGCCCGGCTGTCAGGCGTAAGCCTTTAAATATGTATATCGTCCGACATCATCTCATCAAAATTGCAATTCAGTCTTCATGCTGGAATACGTGGTTGCCTTGTTGTTCTCCGCAAGTCTGCTGCACAAGGAAATTCACTCCACATGCAGCCGCTTAAACCACCTACAATACAAACTGTGTTTGCTTTCAATGAATATTTGTCTGTCCATCAATGTTGGTACTACATCCCGCGAGTTTGGAGTGAACCAACTAAACCAGATCATTTTTGGGTGGTTCGGGTTTCTCATTGTTCATGAATATATGATCCATGATAATCCGATATTTTGGGATGCAAAAAGTCAAATTTGTTACAAGGTCCCTTCAAGACCCCACTAAACACATTGAGAAGACTCCGAGAGAAGGCCAAGTGGCTTGTTTGCCAGATAGGAGCAATTGCATTGCGAATTTTAATGGCACTCCTCCCAAGGGTAGCTGCAAGCTGCATGAACAAAGACATGCATCGCCAGTGCCATCGCAAAGAAAAAGTTCCGGTAACCAGGGTAAAGGGTATAGAAGGGTCAGAAAACTTTGGATTTGAACCTGGCAGGTGCTTCTCACATTTGGTGGTACGGTACCCCCTCTCTCGGAAAGATGCAGGTGCTTCAGAAAATCTGCTGGACTCAGCTCCAAGAGCCGGGATCCGGACAACCCATGCACCTCCAAAACCCATCATTAGACTCATAAGACTGTCATAGACTGCCCAATTTTGGTGATTGGTGTGTTTCCAAAAATTCAACCATGGGTTGAACGGGAGTCTTGTGGCTCATAACTCTCTCCTTCGGACGCCAAAACATGGTCCCAAAGACGCGCGGCTGCTTCTGTGGGCAGCACGTGCAGGAAAATGTCAATAAGCCAGTTCTGTACCTCAAGCACACCAGCTTCACTACATCCACTTGGTCACCACAACAACATTCAACAACCACATATCGAGAATTACCGAGCAAATGGGAGTGGTGGATACTGCATTTTATGGGATCCCAAGCATTGATGTTTGGCAAACGCAAGAGATAATTTCTCTGAAAGAAGAGATCTATACTGTATATTTATGTAAAAATGATTCCAGATGTGACATCTTTCTCTTGTACTCGTTCAGTGGCAGAAAGGACTGGAAAACTTTTGGGGGTCCATTTTCCAGTGAATTTGGGCCAAGGTGCAAGCATGGGCAAGTAGTTAATGTCCCCTTCTGCTAGCCTTTCGGCCACTTTGGGACTTTCTTTTCCAATCATCTCACGCAACTTGTCCGCCAAGCCCTGAATGGCAGCAACCAATTTGTCGCCATCCGAGTGGAAAAGGTTTTCGTCGGCCTGCAGGGCGGGCCCCGTCATTTTCGCAACAAGCATCAGGGCCCCACGCGAAAAAAATCCGACGATGGACTGTGCCATTTTCCACAAAACATCAAATCTAATGCCACTTCCCCACGACTGTTTCACCCGTCCTGGCGGATCACATGGTCAAAAACCTTCATTGCTGCATTCTCTTCGCCGATTTCTCGGAAACATGTGGCCATCCTCAAGTGGTCCAGCGGCATCCACTATGGTGTCGACACCGTATGCTCATCTGGGTATGTTCTTTAACTTGCACAGGGTTCGTGGATTCTATGGGATGGAAAAGTGACCAGCTTGCTACCATTTAAATCAGGTTGGTCCTACGCACTACTATGCAAAAATGTGCAAAATCAATTACGATTCTGAAGACGTTCCAAGCTTTGTGATCGCCACAGTCCACGTGTTTGCGGTATGGAATCGCCATAAGCTAAGCACGCGGCACATGATTCATCCCCTGCATGTATGTCAGGGTCTCCTCACCCTCAAGCCATTTGATCCTTGGATGAATCAACTCATGTGGCCCAGGTTCGCTGCAGTTGATAAGAAGCAAAGCTCATAGCCAGGGCTTAGCTGAGCCAGGAATGCTCTGGAAGCTGCTGCTAAGATTTGAGAAGCGCCAAAAAAGGTAATGCTGCTTCTGTGCGCACGTCTCTAGGGCATCGAGTATGGCCCCAGACGATATGAAAATATCATCAAACGATGACAAAGAACGGATTCCTTTGATGGCCTTCTTCACAAATAAAACAAGTATATACTTAGATCTCTAGCGGATCCATGTAAAACCCTTGCTGGCCACCACATACCGGCATCTAAGATGATGGCGCATAGAACTTGAAAATGTGCGCTAAATCTTTCCCAAATAAATAAACACATATATTCATAAGGCTTCAAACAAGCTTACAGGATAGGACCGATCCTTACCTAAATGATCGTTTGGTTTGAAGCCCTTATATATAGTGTTGAGATCACAGCGTGTTTATATCATATGTACATGTATGTGTGCATGTGTGCAAAACAAAATGATGATGTCGTATCTCTTCATCCATTGTTCTTTCCACACTCTGAGCTGGTGTTGATGTTGTGCCGCTTATTGGTTTATGTTTATTGGTTTCCCCAAGAAGGATTGACTGGGCTCCTCTGGTACCCCTTGGTTGATCCCTACAGGCCCTACCATGCCCTACCCACATCTCCAATGACCAGGTCATTGTGGCTCCTCAGCATCCATCCACCAGGTCCACAATGGGTCCAAGTGTCATCAAATCAGTCACCTGCTGTCGCCTGTGTGCCACTTCCTTCTCCGGAGCCTGGTGGCCAAACAACATCTTAGAGTATGTCCTGCCAAGGCTGCTGCTGATGCTGAGCTCGTGCTGAGCTCATTCATGCTCCTAAGTGCTCCTAAGGTCGTTTCTATGTGTTTGTGTCGGTGTCAAGCTGGCAGAAGGATTGCACTTGTCAAAGGCAAATTAAATGAATCTCCATACCAACATCAACTAACTGCTGTCTGATGTCTTGGTTATCCTTCGCAACAGTCCTGGCCATATCCATGTCCACTTGGCGGTGGATTTCTTCTGAAACCACTTGGTTCTTCGCAACAACCGCATCCGGCCTGCATTTGCAATGTGAGTAGCCAATGATGTGCCCAAACTCCGAAACTTTGCCCTCTTACTATTTGGACAAAGCCGCCCAAACTGCCACACCTTACCAAGTAGCAAGCAACAGTGAGGCTAGATGGAAAATGTAATGTCTGTGCATGACGTGCCCGAACCTGTCAAACTTCTTTGAGGCCACGGCAGCGGCAAGCCACTGGTCAGCTCGCGCTGCGCCCGTCATTGTGAGGCACTTGTTGTGTGAGACGTCAAGGTTGTCTCAACGTGGAACCGACTGCAGCCAAAGTTTTGCCAGCGGTAGAACCACACAGATTACCCGCGAAGCCACATGAAAGCCTAGAACACAAATGACAGGATCATAAAAGCCGTGACAAGTTGTTTCTTTCGGCAACAGAATTGCTGCATTGCTTAGACTCCAATTGGACCTCCATTGAAACACAGCCGTTGCCATCCGTTGCCCACAGCCTGGCGCACCACTCGATCTTGGAGCCTTGGCAAATCCAAGCATTGCATTGCGCAGCGGTGGAAAAACACAGCGACAGTACCAGTTGCAGTGTCAAGGGCAAAGTAAGATGCAAAACATTCTGGAACACAGCTTCCAAAGAAGGAAGAAGCTATTAGTAACAAGTGCATCGCTACTAGTAACAAGTGCCTTACTAGTAGTAACAAGAAGCTAGTAGAAACAAGTGCATCGGAAGGAAGACAATATTCAAACAGAAAGCATTTCTGTTGGTTGACCGTTGAACACAGACAGTTGAACACAAGACATGGTCTGGCCACTCCTACAGTCAACAGCCAGACTGAGCATCGCACATGGGCCGAACAGGGCCGCGTTTTTGCACCTTTTCCGCCTGGCACCTGGCGCTCCTACTACAAGTTGTTCAAACAGAATGTCAATGTAGAGCTGCAGAGCTTTACCTTCCGTAGCAAAATGACAAGAAGAGATATCATCGAAAAGGACCCCGTCCTGTCCCTGTTCCCAAAGCCTGGGTCAGGATGTTTTGCAGCGCTGCATCACTAATCTCCAGGGCAGCATTTTGCAAGGTGTCCTCAACTTCCGATAAATACTTGACTTTCACCCAGGTTGCTCTAGTATATCAACCCCACTGACTTTCTTTCAGTACCAGCATAAATCACTAATCACTGGCCTGAAGCACAACCTGATTGAATTCGGTGTAGGACAAACGAAAAGGAGCCAAACACAAGGTCACAACAAGGTCACAAGCCACCAGAAGACCGTCAAAGCTTAAGTCACGGTCTCACGACTTGTGTGTGTGTGTGACGAGCCAGACCACAAACAAGTCTGGGAGACATTGAGAGCAAGTCCGGGACAAACAGAAAAGAGGAGCGGAATGATGGAGAAGTCGAAGACAAATCAGGAACTGCCCGTCACACGGCACACGGAAACCAAGCATTGCCCCCCGCAAGGCACCAGAAGACAAAGAGCAAATGGTAGACAAATGAGAGACAGTCAGCAACAAAACAGGAATGGTCCATCACAAGGACTACAACACCAGAGAATCCAGAGATGCGAGACAAAGCAGAAATCATCCATCACAAGGCAAAACCAGAGACATTGGAAGAACAATTGCAATCCAAGTATTATGCATGGAAGACTAGAGACAAGTGCGAAACAAGGCCGTGTGCAAATGTGTGCAGGACGGCTCCCCCCGTCTGTGTGGTGCCCATGTCCTCCACCTTTTTGGTCAAGTGCTTCAAGGTGCTTTCCGTATGTTGCGTCTGCTGCTTGCTTGCCTCTTCCAGGCTGGTCCTGGCTGCTCACATCAATCACCATGAATCACTCTTTGTAATCATAGTGCAGTATATATTACATTATATTACTATGTCATAATGGTGCATAATGGTTCATAATGGTAGTAAAATGAACAAGCAAAATGCATGTCGAATCGTAGCTAGGAAAATGAACGATTGAGGGTGCCTTAGCATCGTCAGATCTGCAATCCTTTTGATGCTGCAATCAGTTGGTCCAAAGTTTGGATGGTCTGATCACTTTTAAAAAAATACTTTACTTCGAGTGATCCCCACCATGACATTTCAATCATTTGTCTTGATGCCATAGTGAGGAGCATGTTGCCATAGTCGTCAGTATTGTAGTTCTCGATGTTGCTTGTGGGTCCTCGGGTTGTGTGCTGTGGTTGTGTGCTGTGTTGTGGTTGTGGTTGTGTTTGTGGTTGTGTGTTTGTGGTTGTGTGTTTGTGGTTGTGGTAGTGGTTGTGATTGTGTGTTTGTAGTTGTGGTTGTGGTTGCGGTTGTGTCTTTGTGATTGTGTGTTTGTAGTTGTGGTTGTGTCTTTGTAATTGTGTGTTTGTAGTTGTGTTTGCGGTCGTGTGTTTGTGGATGTGTTTGTGGTTGTGTTTGTGGTTGTGTGTTTGTGGTTGTGTGTTTGTGTGTGTGTTTGTGGTTGTGGTTGTGTCTTTGTGATTGTGTGTTTGTAGTTGTGGTTGTGGTTGTGTCTTTGTGATTGTGTGTTTGTACTTGTGGTTGTGGTTGTGTGTTTGTGGTTGTGTTTGTGGATGTGTTTGTGGTTGTGTTTGTGGTTGTGTGTTTGTGGTTGTGTGTTTGTGTGTGTGTTTGTGGTTGTGTGTTGTGTGTATGTTTGTGGTTGTGTGTTTGTGATTGTGTCTTTGTAGTTGTGTTTGTAGTTGTGTGTTTGTGATTGTGTTTGTAGTATTGTATTTGTGATTGTGTTTGTGATTGTGTTTGTGATTGTGTGTTTGTGGTTGTGTGGTTGTGGTTGTGTGTTTGTGGTTTTGTGTTTGTGGTTATGTGTTTGTGATTGTGTCTTTGTAGTTGTGTTTGTAGTTGTGTGTTTGTGATTGTGTTTGTGATTGTGGGTTTGTGATTGTGTTTGTGGTTGTGTGTTTGTGGTTGCGTGTTTGTGGTCGTGTGTTTGTGATTGTGTGTTTGTGGATTTTATCTGGCAAACTATCTGGTTGAGGTCCAGCGGTGCACACTGCGATCGGATCCTTTCGGTTGAGGTCCAGCGGTGCACACTGCGATCGGATCCTTGCGGTTGAGGTCCAGGCGTGCACACTGCGATCGGATCCTTGCGGTTGAGGTACAGGGGTGCACACTGCGATCCAGAGCTGGCCAGACAAGATCGGCGAAGCAGATTGGCGATGAAGATTGGCGAGGAAGGAAGCAAGGAGGAAGGAGGAAGGAGGAGGACGAGGAGGCGGCGGAGGCGGAGGCGGAGGAAGAACAACTGTGATAAAATCTAACAACCCTCACCTGGCAGGTGGGGAATTGCTGCTTAGAAGTTGGTTGCTTGATTGGAACAAGTTTCAGTGTGTTGAAATCGCCATGACTCAGCAGTAACCCAGAGTGACTCTGGAGTTACCATGAACGGGCGGAGTGAACGATTTTCAGCCAAGCTACACATGTTGCTATAGGCCGAGCACATCATGCCTCCCAACGCATGGAAATACACTCTGAAAGTAAGAGCTGTGGGAAACCGCCTTGATTTTCTTCCCTGGCCAGTACCCAAGGACTTACCCACGCCCGCTCTGGGAACTGATACTTCATCCTGACAGGTCAATTAAAGAATCGCCCATGAAGTACGAGCTTGTAAACTACATCGCAATGGGCTAGTTGAGAATGCTGATTTCGCGGCAATATTTACAAGTAGGAAATCATGGCAACCTCTCAAAGAGTTGGCTGCGAAACTCTTGGAGGAAGCTCGGCAGCGTCAGCAGCTCCGGTCCTGAAGAAGCCCATGACAGCCATACGCCATGGCGTGCCGTCTAATATAGCCTTTTCTGTGTTTTTCCGCTACTGCTGAAATACCCAGCCTAGCCTGATCGGTTTCATGTTGGCCTGGGGACCTCGGCCTCAACCTATGGCCGGTAAAGAAACAGCGTGCCTGGCAGCTGCCCAGCTAACACATGTCCAGCTGATCGGTTGGCCAGGCAAAATCCAACCCAAGAAGCCACAAAAACAGCCAACTGCAAAGTGAAACTGGGCCAAGGCTGGTCATTTCTTCAAACTGGGCAATGCCTCCCGCTTGGCTTGATAGGTCTATTGATGTCTATATTAATATATCCTTTATAAATTAAACAAAACACGCCTTTCGTGACCATGGGATATCACTGGACTCATGGAGTGTGGTGTCTACGTGTGTGCCGGTGTGTCCTGCCAGCATTGATATGTGGCAATTTTGCTGGCGAGCCAAGTGTCGGAAGCATGGCCATCGTAGTATATAATTCGGTTGAACTATTACCTGCATTGTCTCGACACGTTTAAAAGAACAACAAAAACGAGATAAGCTGAGAAGCTTAACAACCCTTAACAAATGATATCACATTGGCAACTGCACTGGGCCTTTTTGAGGATGCTTCACTGACCACACATCAAAACGGCAATTGTATAAATACAGCATATATGAACACTAATAAGGCATCACCAGCAGCATGTTGTGAGCAGCAAGATGGTGCGGGCATGGTGCAGGACCAACGATGGGCGAAGGCAACAGTCTGTTCAGCTCGAAGAATATGTTGGTCATGTGTGTTCAATGATGGTCGGCCAAGTTCTTGTCTACGTTCGTCCACACTCAAATCAACATCAGCAACCCTTTCAACACGGGGGGATCACCGGCGCGTCCAACACATTGGCTGCAACAGGGTGTTTCTTCCTGTTTCTCCAGGAGTGTCCATGCAAGGTCACATCGATTCGCCAGTCGTTCGCCCGCTGTGCCGCTGTGGCGCATGGCGCCGGCGCCTGAGTGCTAGCAAGCTGTACCGCCGAAGCGCTTAGAGCCGTTCTCATCTTGTGGTATTTAGCTCGTCCTGACTCCAATCAGCCGATCCTTCCCTAGCATTGACCCTTGTGCTTCAACTACTGAACCTGAAAAAATAAGGGGAGCCCTCTTCAAGGGACTGGTCTACAAACACGTGCATATAGCTTCACTTCTCCCAATGTGATCAATGTGATTTACAGAAATGGCGGAATTCTCCATGATGGTGAGGAAGAATACGATATCACGGCAACTCCAACGCAGCCAGGGCCAGCCATCCACATGGCGGCAAGCCCACGCTGGGCCTTCCCATCTGGGCCTTCCCTCTTGGCGTGAGTTCTCTCGCTCTCAGTTCTCACTCAGGCACCCATCTCTCTCAGTGCTTTCAGCCGCTCCTCTGCTTCAGCCTCGAGATCTCAGGTTCAGTTGCTTCACTCTACTATGAAATTTCATAGAGTAGTAGAGTCTCATTTTTTTGAATTCATCACATGTTTCTATGTTCGCTTCAACTTCAGTTGCTGGATGGCTAGTTGATTCATGGTGATTCAGTTCCAAAAATCTCGAGTGCCTTTCAGATGAACCAACGGACATGTGCGTTCATGACATGAGAACCACCAGCATGCCCGAGCATGAGGGTGAACGACGCGGGACGTCCAAGTTCAGCCTACTGGAGACAAAGGTGGAAGCCGCGGCTGGTTGCAGTGTTGGGGTAGGTGGCTAGGCTAGCTAGCTGCAGCTTTAAGAGGGTACCTCCACAACCTTTGGGTATATTTGGACAAGACGATTACCAGGATCCTACCCTTTCGAGCCACGTGTGTCTTCCAAAAACACCCATTCACTGCATACGCTCCTCGACTGCGAGCCTGTTCGCTCAACAGCTGCTGGTGCAGCTGCTCCTTCTCTGCCAGCAGGGCCTGCGGCCAAATCCCACCAACCCCCACGAGCAAGCGGTCACCTCTAGCGAGCTCGTGAGATCTTGGTGCAGGAACTGATCCCTTACCTTCTTGTTCCTAGTAGCTAATTGCTCCTACTAGTATGGCCAGGAGCCCCTAGTAGCGTCCCTTTTTTCCTGCTACTGTAAAGCTTGCCTTTTATGGACCCAATCCTTGAATTTTACCCGTGCCTGGAGTGCCGCTAGGACTTGTTCAGCTTCACTCGTGTCCATCTGGGCGTCTGCTTTTTCTCGGCCACTGGGAATCGACGATTAGACATTGGTGACATAGGATTTGCTCAAGGAACCCGGACAAAACTTGGACCAGAAACTGAAACGGATCTATGATGATCTATTTGTATACTAAAAACGAAGGGAAACCAAATCACACACTATAATTATAAGCAAAACCAAGCATTGCCCCCCCGCTAAAACTATGTTCCCTGGACTCCCTTTGAGACATTGCAGTATTCACAGAACAGCTTTGGAAACTCAGCCTGCTGAAGGTTCCGAAACAAACATAATATATTTTAAAAAATACATTATATAATATATATAATTCCAGTGGCTCCAATCTGCTGTCCTCCAGTTCTCCTTTTGATTGCGCAAAGACTGACCGTGATTGATTCTGATCAACACGTCCACGATAGTGGACCAGTGGTGCAGTCCATAACTGGCATAGCTCTTCTCGAAATTGGATTGTTTAGAGAAGGACTGAAAAGGGGGGGACATCTGGACATCTGCATCAATTTATTGGTTCATCTGCTCCAGGTCCTACACGTCACCAAACTCCAAGGAAGAACGCTCCTTTTTCCAGATCAAGGGCCTGGTCCAAGACACCAGCGATGGAGCAACCCCATCGGGAGCCCCATCTCGAGGTGACGATCACAGGCCCCAGGGATGCGGCTTGGCGAAGCAATCTTTTGTTTCACAAACCCGGACGGACCTGGCATGTCTTTTTGCCCAGGCGCAAGTGGTCACGACTGACCATGTTTTCTTGTTTTGACGCCGACAACTTAAAAAAAAAACAGCAAAAAAGACAAGCCGCACCACCTGAGGATCTGGCGCGTTTGAACGGCCAAACGCGATGCTCAGCGTCAGCGTCCTCCTTCGGGAGGCTCAGCCGTCGTATTCGCCCTCTTCCTCATCGAATTCGCCCTCCTCCTCGGCAGTTGCATCTTGGTACTGCTGGTACTCAGAGACCAGGTCGTTCATGTTGGACTCCGCTTCGGTAAACTCCATCTCATCCATACCTGCATTTTTCTGGGCATCATTTAAACACTATACTATACTGCAAGTATCTGCAAGTAGGTTCCACCCGCGGGTGTCATGTATCGTTTTAGGGGAAAGGAGAGCGGAACGAAACACCTAAATGCATCAAAATACAATGACTGATGTACCGCAATGGATGACTTGGCCTTCAAAACTTCAAGTTGACATTTAGACGACTTGAGAGTCCAACTCGGCCTTCACCAGTGTACCAGTGCAGGAACGCCTTACGACGAAACATGGCAGTGAAGTATTCGGCCACTCGCTTGAACATCTCCTGAGAGTTGCCCAGAATCCAAGCACATCGAACGTCTAAAATCCAGTCACCAAGGGGAGCCGTCACCAGCAATCAACATACGAACACACTCATAGCTATGTCAACTATTTCGATCTATTTCGTACTATTTCTGGCTCGATGGCGAAAGCGACGTTCTTCAACCTTAAGTTTCCCTAAAGATGTAACCAAATCATTAGCGCGAGCTATCCTGCGTCCTGTCGGTAGTGCTACCTCATTTCTTTACTTAACTAAGTAGGCGCTTACTGAATTAAGTACCAGTAGGGAGGGGGGAGCGGGCTAAAACAAAACAAACAAACAGGAAAAAACAACGAGACTGTCTCAGTGAACCATCCTCTCCTGAATCGCGGTGGAATTCCCAGCAAAGGCCACGGCCATCTTCAATCCTTTGGGAGGAATGTCACAGACTGAAGCCTTGATGTTGTTGGGAATCCTCAGAAAATCGAGGAATCTGGAACGACACGGTGGATGACAGGTCGGCAGGCTCTTTCACCCCGAAAGTCTTGGGGACATTTTTCGGGGGTTACAGCCTCAGGCATTGTGATTTGTTGATTTGGCTTGTGTGTTTTTTGTCTGGAAGTTCTCAGATTTTTGATGCTTTACTAGACTTGAAACCATCTTCGAAACACACTTGCCCTTCGGTCTTTTGTGTCGCAATGTCGCACACGTGGATGGAAAACCTAGAAGGGGTGCTGTGCCGTGCAAGCCACTGGTTCATTGGTTCTGTCAAACTGGCTGGGTTCAAGCATTGCGGCAGAGAGATGCTAACATATAACATATCTAACTTATATAAACCCACTCGTCAGGAGAGACTATTCGAAATGGTTCTTGGATGTTCTTGGCCAAGGCCAAAAGGGATTAAACACGTTCACGCGTTTCGACTCATAATGTTCCAACACGTGTGTCCAGCGAAGTTGATGGGGTCAACACCGAGCGCGAAACGTCCCCTCTTCGAACAAGTCTATGGCTCCACTCCACGAAGTAGGAGGAGTTCTTGTTCCTCGGCGAAAGGTCACATGACAAGGCAGCAGGAACGAAGTAACCCAGAAATAGGCGAAAACTTGAATTCAACAAAAAAAACAGCTGGAACCACTGGCCGAAGGCTCTGCACGTTCAACATCTGCTCATCGACCTCCTTGGTCGACATACGCCCTCGGAAAAGGGCAGCAGCGGTGAGGTAACGGCCGTGACGAGGATCCGCCGCGCACATCATGTTCTTCGCGTCGAACATTTGCCTGGGGGGAGCTGGGTCTGACATATCGTGTCATATATACAATGCCAGAAAGAATTCCCAAATAGATGTCAAACCTGAGAAGCTGCAAACCGAAAGCCGGCGCTTTTTGTCCACGAGCACGTTGTGAAGAGAGATAGTAAAAGTGCAGCGGTAGCTACCCTGGGTCCGCTACCCTGTACAATTCAGTTGCCAGGTGTAGCGCTTCAATTTCCCTTTCCGTCAACCGCTAGATAACCTTGAGAAACGTGCAGCAATCCACGGATTTGAAGACTCATTAGTGCTTTGACCTTATATAGGTGTGTAAGAAGGTGATGCATTCACAGCTGCACGAAGCTACAACAAATCGGCCTCTGTAAAACTACACCTTACCATTCAGATGATGCAAAAATTGCAAATTGCATTTCTTGCATCTCCACCCCCTCAAAAATCACAAAAGCGCAACCTCAAAAACCTTACTTCCGCGCACCCCTCTCCCCCACCTAATTTCGAGTTTACGTGATACGTTCTCGGGCCACCCCCCCCAAACCCCCTACTTACTCACTTCGTTCGCCAAACACAACTTAGCTGGCGCCTTCTACGAAGGCTGGCTTTCGTAATAGAATGCCAGGAAGAAACCAGGTCAGAATAGATGCCGGATAGAATGCCAGAAAAAATGCTCAAAAAACATGTCAAAAACCACATAGAATGCCATAACAATGCCGACCAGGATGTCAGAATGTCGGAATAGTCGAGATGAGTAGAATGCACGTGGCAGCAACTATGTCAGAACATATGTCGGAATCAGTGGCAGGATTGTCGGAATACATGGCAGAACACTATCAGAACCGAAGTAAAACAATAAGTCACAACATATGTCAGAGCACATGCCCAGAAGATATGTCAGAACACATGTCAGACTTCACAGCAGGACAAATGTTAGGATACAGGTCACGGTTGTATTCGGAAACTGGACGGTTGTATTCGGAAACTCGGCGGTTGTATTCGGAAACTCCACGGTTGTATTCGGAAACTCGGCGGTTGTATTCGGAAACTGGAACGGCTGTATTCGGAAACTGGGATTCGGAAACTGCGCGGTTGTATTCGGAAACATGGTATTCGGAAACTGAAGCGGTTGTATTCGGAAACTGGAAGGGTGGTATTCGGAAACTGCACGGTGGTATTTGGAAACTAGTATTCGGAAACTACTCGGTTGTATTCGGAAACTGAGACGGTTGTATTCGGAAACTCCACGGTTGTATTCGGAAACTGACCGCTTGGATTCGGAAACTCGTATTCGGAAACTCGACGGCTGTATTCGGAAACTGCGGGACCGGAATCTCTCTCCAGTGCGTGTATCTCTATGGCAATGCCAGGAAAACTGCTCTCAACGGATTTTCTCACAAGATCCCCCGTGGGTGGCCTGTTGGGTGCTTTGCTGGTCATTATTTAGAGAGCTGCCCTCTAAAGAATGACTGGCAAGGGATAGAATCTCTATAAAATGACAGGCAAAGGTGTTTATATAAAATGCCAAGCCAGATCCAGGTGTGGCTAAGGAGCAGTGGAAGAACATGCTCTATAAAATGAATATCCAGATGAATGGGCATAAGATGTTGGGAAACCCGTTTTCACTAAAAAATGACAATACTGGATCCCAACATGGGAAGCACGTGTTCACTAAAAAATTACATTACTGGGTTCATAAACATCTCCAACACCAAAGTCTCTATAAAATGCTTTGCCAAATCCACCTAGTGTGAACGCAGCTTTTTCTATAAAATGACCAACCAAATCCCCAAGCGGGACACGTCCATTTCCGACATGCGCCTCTAGAAAATGCCTTGTCCAGGGATCACTAGGCTTTACATAAAGTATCCAACTCTATAAAATGTCCTTCCATGTCTTCTCAAAACTCTCAACAACTACCCTCTCTATAAGATGACTACCAAAAAGGCATTTTATAGTGGCAAGGGATCCCCATTTCTTAGGGACCCAGTTGCGGGGGATCTCACAAGCGCCCCAACACCCCCCACACCCCACCCGCCCTCCATGGTACGCAACTATCCACATAAGCTTAATGCCCCTGCCCCACCCCCACCCCCCTCCCCCCCAACCCACAGGAAAGCATTGGTCCGCGCAACCATATACGAAACCTTACTGCCCCACCCCACCCCCCACCCCACCCGCCCTCCATGGTACGCAACTATCCACAATAAGCTTAATGCCCCTACCCCACCCCCCTGTGCCCACCTCCCCCCCACCCCACACCAACCCACGAAAGCATTCGTCCGCGCAACCATCTACGGACCGCCCCAACAGCCCCCACACCCCACCCGCCCTCCATGGTACGCAACTATCCACATAAGCTTAATGCCCCTGCCCCACCCCCACCCCCCTCCCCCCCAACCCACAGGAAAGCATTGGTCCGCGCAACCATATACGAAACCTTACTGCCCCAC